CCAAACCAAACCAAAACTATTAAATAAGCATACAATCAAAGTTTTACCGCGTTAATAAAACACCGATTGAAGTAAAAAATAGATAAACAAATAAAATAAGAAATAAAAATAAAAAATAAAAATAAACAATAAAAAATAAAAATAAATAAAAACAAGCAAAATAATCTAACCTAAATAAATAAATAAAGAAATAAACTACTTCCGGCAAAATAACCGCCAAAATAGACTACCCACAATGCATCACTAACCCGTATATATAAATAGCCGAGAAAAAAAACACCATGCATGAAACAGCCTGTCGCCTCTAAGTGTTGATTTCAATGTTCAGTTTTATATTTACACACGATCTATCTCTGATATTGAGCACTTTATACCATAAATATAGCACACCCTAAGAGTATATATATATATATATATGTGTGTGTGTGTGTGTGTGTGTGTATGTATATTGCAAAGTGAAAGAAAGTCTTCGTGTGACGCGTTTCGTCTGTTAGGACTTCATTGAGCTAAATATGCTACATTGCTGTGACCACGCATGCGCACGAACGAGGAACGTTGGCAATTTTATTTATTTATTTATTGTATATAATCAAGCCAGTTTGTTTTTGATAGAGTTTCTTTATCTTTTTGTTCCTATCACTTTTGTTATTAGATTTCCCACACAATGGCCAGGAATGTTGAAATGTTGTCTGGGCGTAAATTTACTGAGGATGACCCTGCAATCAAGAGACTCTCTAAACATTTCCATCTTAATAAAGTGTTTTCTCTTTTCATCAGAGTAGCATTTGTGTGTCAAAATTGTAGTCAATCTCGTTACGGTGAGGAAAAAATTAAAAAAAAAAAACAATAATTCAATTTAAAAGCAGCATCTCCGGTTTGTGCGCATGCGTAGTCGCAACCAAAATAACAAATTTAGTTCAATGAAGTTCTAAAGGACAAAACACATCACACGAAAAATTTTTTGTACTTTTGTCATACATTTATATATATATATATATATATATATATATATATATATAAGCCATTAATATAAAAAACATTAATATAAAAACCATTTTATATAAATATAAAAAAACCATTAATATAAAGCTATTTATATATATATAAAATATAAAAGCATTTATATATATATAAATATAAAAACTATATATATATATATATATATATATATATATATATATATATATATATATATATATAAAACCATTTATATATATATATATATATATAAAAATAAAAACCATTTTATATATATATATATATATATATATATATATATATATATATAAACCACTTATTTTACATTCAACATCATCACTTGATAAGACACCGGAGGTGTTGAAACAAATGGCTATGTTTGTAGTGATTTTATAACATATTTATGTTATAATTTTTAAATAAATAATTATATATATATATATATATATATATATTTATATATATATATTGAGCCAGAATTACCTACCAAGGTTTCACCTAACGGAACCACTAGTACCCTGAAGATCAGTTAAGTGAAACCTTGTAGGTAGGTTCTGGCTTATTAGTCTTATTTATATTTTGCTCTACTTAGTGTATTGAGCACTTTCACGTTTTTACTTAATTTACTCTGTCGGTGTTTTTATTTAATAATTTTGACAAGACATTGCGGTGCTGATTGATTATTTTCGTCCGACACGTATATCTTTAGTTTTTTTAAAAAATATAATATATATTATCCGGGTGTTTTTCACACTGCCAGATTATAGGTATTAAAATAATATATATATATATATATATATATATATATATATATAGGGTGAAAATGAAGAAATCAATTTGCTTAATTTTTACGTAGAAATTTTAAATATTAGTCACAAACATACAAATTTACAAGCGTGAGATGATCCATCTGGTTGGAATATTTCAGCTTCTGCTATATGTGGTAATAAATTGGACTTTAGAAAAGTAATATTTTTCGTTGTTCAGTGTCCCGTCGACTTGTATCAATTTTCCATAATTTCCGATGTATCACGAACCCTCACCAAACCATTACCCGCCAGCCAAAGCATTAATCTCAACCGCACCGAATTCCTGCTTTTGTTCGGTATTTTCGATTGTCTTGTACCAATATTGTCTTCGGAAATACCTTAGAATTCACTTCTACTTTGCTTTCGGCACTGTATATCACTTTTGCCCACTTTTCATTATCCTATATCAGGTGTTCTTTTATCCAGTGTTTTCGTCTTTTAGGTTCCTCCGTTAGGTCACGTAAAAAAGCAGCATGTCACGATTAAAAAAGGCTCAAATCAACAAAAACAAAGTTTTTTTCTCAATATGTTGTTTTTAATTAAAAGCTAAAGTATTAAATTTACTACTTAAAGTAAGTAACATATTCTGGTGTTTTTCAGATAGAAATTATATAGATTGGAATGTCAAATATAAGCTCGATTTTTGTTTAATTTTCTTAAAAACGGCCATTTTCTAAAATTTTAAGAAATTTGTAACAAACAAAATTTTGATTTTAAACTTCTTCCTAAAATAAATTTATATATTTTTGAGACGTTATTTGAGTAAAATTAGAAAATTTTAAGTTAAATTAATCTGATATGAAACAAACAGTACTTATAGCATAAAAATTTGTATCCAAACATTTCTTAACGATGTGTTTGAATTTATCAAAGAAATCGATTGTGACGAGGTGATGACAGATTACTGTGGATGATCAAAATTGACAATTTTTG